CCACCTCCCGAGTGACCAGGTCAGGAAAAGAGAAAAGTATAAGGAGAAGGCTAAAAAACAAAACGGGGTCCTGCCACAGCCTCACGTTCAGCCCTTGTTTTCCAGGATGCGTTCTGGGCCAAGTACACAGGTGAGCACTGGGAAGGGTCTGCCTCAGGGAGTCCTGGGGACCCCAGTTAGAGAACATTCTACTCTAGAAAATCTGGTCCATTCAGTCATCCCCGCCCCCCTCATTCCTTCCTTCCATCTGTCTGTCCATCTCTCTGTTTCTAAATGTTGTTCTGCCCTTTACTTGAGCCCATCTTGTCCCTATCTGAATCCCCAAGGTGTTTCTGGTCTTTTCCAGCTTGTGAGTTGGTGAGGAAACCTCGAGAAAAGCTCGTGGAATGTCTGGAAGGTGAGGAGTTGACACGGGGGTGGGAGGTCAGGATATGAGGGGGACAGCATGGGAAAAGAGCAAAGGAGGGGTGAGTTAGGAGGTTGCCCAGTGGTGGCAGCCCCTGGCAATCTGACATTGCCCTGTTCCTGTGGTTCAGAGTGTATCTTTGCCTGGCTCTGGGCCTGGCAGTCAGTAAGATAATTAATGTTGGAGGAATGAATGAATGGATGGATAATGAATTAATGTTTAAGGCCTCATTCTCATGTGAGCCCCTGTCCATGCCAGTCAGTTTTCCCCATGTATCCAGGGCAGTGCTCCAATGCTGTCACATTCATTCTCCAAAACCTTGAGCGGCTCCCCATTGCTCCCAGAATAAAGCACCAGCTTCTTAGCATGATGAACTTTGTAGGTCTTGGCCTTAACCTCCCTTTCTAGCCTTATCTCCCATTGGATCAACCATGAAGCCACACCCCCAGCTATTCTGACAGCAAGCTCTTCTCTAAACATGTCAAGGTGGTTCTACTTCCTAGCCCTACATTGTCATCTTCCCCTGGAATGGCCATCACAGCCTACCAGAAACCTCCCTATCCTTCAAGGACTAGTTCCAATGCCACCACTGTTAGAGTGACAATAGGCCCAATGACAAGAACTCTTGAATCACTAGCCATACTTTCATTTGTTCAATAAGTTTTTCAGTTTTAACTGAGTCCCTGCTATGTGCCAGAAACTACATCGAGTGCTAGGTGTTTTAAGAAAATCAAGGAGCTCACAATTTCATGGGAAAACAAAAATACAAAATGTCAAAGTGATTGCTGGAAGAGTTCTGTTCCAGGTGCCAAGAGAATGCCAGGAGAAGGAGCCTTTAGTTTGCGGACAGAATCAGAGACAGCTCCCCAGAAGAAGTAGAGTTTTACCTGGATTTGTGGGATGCACTGACGAACAAAGAGGAGAGCATTCCAAGGCAAAGAAAATAGCATGGGCAAAGGTCCTGAGGCATAAGGAGCTAAAATAACAGGACAGGTAGACCAGAGCCAGATTAGCTCTTATTCACTTTTCATCCTGCTGGCCATGCAGAGCCACAGAGTCTAAACTCCATGGGGGCAAGAGTGTGGCACCAGGGCCTGGTGCTACCTTGACTATGACTGTCTTATTCATCACTAGTACCTGGCACAGTGCCTGTCAGAGGGTCATTGCAGGGTGGGCACTCAGTATATTTGGCAACTACTGTGAAATGGATTGGAGAACTGCTGAGTGCAGAGGAGGTGCTGAGTAAATGCAGGTTAAGGGTCATGAGCCAGGAGCTGGGAAGGGATGGATAGACAGAGCTTTGCTAAGAGAGAGTGGGGACAAATGCTCGGGGTAAGAAAACTGGCCTGGGGTCTCCACAGGTAACTGTGCCGAAGGTCTGGGTATGAACTACCGAGGGAATGTGAGTGTCACCCGGTCAGGCATTGAGTGCCAGCTATGGAGGAGTCGCTACCCACATAAGCCTGAGTGAGTAATGGGCAGGCCTGTCTGCCAGGAGGCTGAGAATGGGGCGGGGGTCAGGGGGGTGGGCAGGAGACACTGGAGTGGGTGGTGGTGGGGGATGGCCTTCTGCTAAGCAATGTCCTTTTCCAGAATCAACTCTACCACCCACCCTGGGGCTGACCTGCAGGAGAATTTCTGCCGCAACCCGGATAGCAGCAGCACTGGGCCTTGGTGCTATACTTCAGACCCCACCGTGCGGAGGGAGGAGTGCAGCATCCCTGTCTGTGGTGAGCTGGGGTGATTGGTCCATGGCCAAGGCCCAGGGGTCTTCACGGGGCCTGGAAGCCTGGGATAGAAAACAAGATCCTGACTCCCTCCAAGGGGGGTTACTCATTTACAACATAACATATTTGGGCCTGTTAGTGAAGTTAGGAGACCAGAGAGAGCTGGTTTCCAGCCTCCTCCTCTCCCTCCCATCTTCACTTCCCTATGATCCAGGCTGTGACTCATTCCAGGGATGCTTTCCTTCCTGCTCAAGGCACTCTTCCCTCCAGGAAGCCCTCCCTGACCACTTCAGTCCACGTGCCCTTTTTTTGAGCCCCGCAGGGCAAGCCTCCTACAGTCCAGCCCTGCAGGATTCTGTCATTATTATTCCTGGTGATCTGTCAGTTAGCTATAAGCCATAATCATGCTGCAAAACCCACGAAATCACAAACCACAAAAGCTCAGGGGAATACAGCAATAAGTATTTACTTCTTATTTGCATGAGGGTTGGCTGCAGTGGACTGCTCGTGTGTCTGTGGGGTCCATGACGTAACCTGGGCTTGGCAGGTGGCCTTATTTCAAACGATGGGTCCAACTGAGCTTGGCTCCTTGTGTGGGTTGGGTCCTCTACACGTACTCATTCTGGGGCTGAAAGACACCATCTTCCTGTGGTGATGGCGGGAGTACAAAACAATGAGCAGAAACACACCATATGTCTTCAGGCCTAGGCTCAGAACTGGCCTAGTCAGTTCTGCCCATGTTCCACTAGCCAGAGCGGCAGTGTGACCAAGGTCAAGGGGTGGAGAAAGCATGCTGAAATTGACCTGCTGCTCTATGTAGACATCCTTAGCCATCCCAACTATATTTCCTGCTGTGCCTTTCTGAAAACACAGAATCCTTCTTTAAAAACTCCAGGTAGTCACTCCCAATAGATTATAGACAGCCCTGTAGTAGATTACAGGAGGTGAAACCTGGTTACTAGCTCCAGCTTATCATGCACCAGACAGTCATGATGAATATTTTGTTTAAATCTCTCAACGACCCTGCAAGAATGGCATTAGCAACCTCCTTCACAGGCAAGCAAACTGAAGCACAGAGAGGTGAAGTTGCCGGAGGTCATACAGGAAGGAAGCTGCAAGGCAGGGGTTCAAATCCTGACTGTCTGGCTCCACGTATGGTCCCTGCCACTCTGCTCCCTTACCTCCTCACCCACCAGGCCAAGGGGGTGTCACTGTGGCGCTGACCCCACGCTCCAAAGGCCTCACCGTGAATGTGTCACCTCCATCTGAGCTGTGTGTCCCTGAGCGTGGCCGGCATTACCAGGGGCGCCTGGCGGTGACCATGTATGGGTCCCCCTGCCTGGCCTGGGACAGCTGGCAGGCCAAGGCCCTGAGCAAGGACCAAGACTTCAGCCCGGCTGTGCCGCTGCTGGAGAACTTCTGCCGCAACCCAGACGGGGACGAGGAGGGCGCATGGTGCTACGTGGGCGGGAAGCCTGGCGACTTCGAGTACTGCGACCTCGACTACTGTGGTGAGAGGGCAGGGCGGGCGCGCCTGAGACAGGTGGCAAAGCCTGGAGGGAGTAACAAGAACAGCGCCTCCCCTAATCTAAGGCTCACCGCGCACCCACATGAGTGCGCTCATTGCAGCCTTTCGTTACCCAGGTGGGAATAGGTTCTGTCCCCGTTTCACAGCTGAGCGCAGTGGGGCCTGGCGGGTGAAGCTGCCAGGTGCGCTTGCGCTCTTAATCTCCACATCAGAAGGTGTCCAAGGCCTGGAGGTGGCTTGGGGAGGTCTAGGGCCCGGGCAAGGAATGGCCCAGCCCTGTCCCAGCCTTTGCCGCGGTCCCTGCAGAGGAGGAGCCGATAGAGGAGGAGACTGGCGACGGGCTGGGCGAGGACCCGGACGCGGCCATCGAGGGGCGCACCACCACCGAGGACTTCCAGCCCTTCTTCAATGAGAAGACCTTCGGCGCGGGGGAGGCAGGTGAGGTGGCGGGCGCGCGGCGCGGCCGCGGGGCAGGGGCTGCGCTCTGCCGCTCACCGCCTGGCTCGCTCTGCAGACTGTGGGCTGCGGCCTCTGTTCGAAAAGAAGTTGCTGGAGGACGAAACGGAACAGGAGCTGCTGGAGTCCTATATCGAGGGGCGCATCGTGGCGGGCCGGGACGCGGAGAAGGGCCTGGCGCCCTGGTGAGTCCCTGACGCGCTGCTCCCATCACTGTGCCGGAGCCCCCGCCCCCAGCCCTGGGAGACTTCTCTTCCCTCAGACGCCTAGGCTACGGGGATACCGTGAGCCGAGCGTTGGCGTCTCATCCAGCCCTTTTGAGATTGGGTTTATTACTTCTCACGTGCAAACAGCCAAGCTGAGGCTCAGAGTTTAAGTGATGCTGCTAGTGGGTTGCACAGCAGGACTTGAACCCAAGTCCACTGACTCCAGAGCTGTGCTAAGCTGCACTGCTCTGGACTGGAACTGGGGGCAGTGTGCAAAAAGCAGGAGGCAGCCCCTAGCTGTCACGTGGGTGCCCCAGTCCCCAAGGGTGGCCAGGTCAACCTGGGGGCTGGGCCAGCAGGCAGCTCTGTCCAGTTTGCTCTTAAATCTGGGACTTTCTACTTCCAGGGTGGGTGGTAGGGCAGCTCCCCAGCTCTAACGCTTCCCATTCCCCCTGCCAGGCAGGTGATGCTTTTCCGGAAGAATCCTCAGGAGCTGCTGTGTGGGGCTAGCCTCATCAGTGACCGCTGGGTCCTCACTGCTGCCCACTGTCTCCTGTACCCGCCTTGGGACAAGAATTTCACTGAGAATGACCTTCTAGTGCGCATTGGCAAGCATTCCCGCACCAGGTACAGCATGGGAGGACCAGGAATGTCTGGCAGGGGTCTGAGTTCTCCAGAGTGACTCTGAGGGGCCATGGTGGCTCTGGGGCGTGTGGGAGATGTCTGTCTCTCAGGAGAAACCCCAGCAGTCTCTGCTGTAGGGTCCATTCGGCCACGTCCTGACCTTGGCTTCAGGTTACAGTCAGAGAAAGTAAGACTTGCCGAGAGTGAAATCCTGGCCTGCCCCTAGCTCTCTGGAGGCCAGACGCCAGGACATGGCTCAGGTGTGACTTCTGAATAGAGGCTGTTTGTATCATGGCCCACAGTCTGTGTACCTTCCCCATCTTCCTGGGCTGTTTGATTCCAAAGCTGCTTCCAGGAAAACTGCCAGGGAGCTGCCGGGTGCCACTTCACTGGTGACCTACTGGTCACCCTGACTCCCAGACCTTGAAGGCAGGCAGTTTTCTTTTTCAGGGGACTGCTGCCCCAGGGAACTCACTAGGTGGCTTATGGCCTCTCCTTCCTCTGTTGGGGTCTGCCCAGGTATGAGCGAGGCATTGAAAAGATCTCCATGCTGGAAAAGATCTACATCCACCCCCGGTACAACTGGCGGGATATCCTGGACCGCGACATCGCCCTGCTGAAGCTCAGGAAGCCCATTTCCTTCAGCGACTACATCCACCCCGTGTGCCTCCCTGACAAGCAGACGGCAGCCAGGTGGGGTGGCCAGGTGGGACGGCCAGGGGGCCATTAGCTGAGGGGCCTGGGATGAGTTCTGGGCCTGACTTGCCCTGTGTAGGCCTTGCAGAAGTTTCTTCCCTTCTCCAGGCCTCAGTTTCTTACAGAAAACCAAAAGGTTCTTTCTGCACTGGTGTTTGAGATTCAGATCTCTAAGGGGTGGTGCTGGGGCCAGAGGCTCCTGGAGGAGTTGTTTCTCACTAGGTCCGTCTCCCTTCCCCAAAGGTTGCTCCAGGCTGGATACAAAGGGCGGGTGACCGGCTGGGGCAACCTGAGGGAGACATGGACAGCCAGTGCTAGTGATACGCAGCCCAGTGTCCTGCAGGTGGTGAATGTGCCCATCGTGGAACGCCCAGTCTGCAAGGCATCCACCCGGATCCGCATCACTGACAACATGTTCTGTGCTGGCAAGTCCCCTGTGGCTCAGGGCCTTGGGGTTGGGGGGATGGAGACATGTTAAGAGCACAGACTTGTTCAAGTCCTGGCTCCAGTCATTTACAAGCCATATAACTTTGGGCAAAGTCACTTAACTTCTCGGAGGCTCAGTTTCTTTCTCTGTAAAATGGAGATAAAAGCCTTTTTTCCAAAAGGTTGTGTGAGGGTTCAATGAGATAGTATGTAAAGTGTTAGGTGTGGTGCTGGTCAATAATTCGTACGCATGAGCCCAGATAGCTGCAGGAGGCCATGGGGGAGGAAAAGCCATTCATTCGTTCAGTTATTCAACTAATATTTATTGAGTGCCTACTGTGATCTAGACGGTATTCCAGGGTGTATGACAAGGACCCAAACAGACAATGCCTGTGTCCTCGGAGAGCTTCCTTCCTAGAAGGAGAGAATGTCAGTAAACATATTTAGAAAGCAATCCCTGCTAGAAAGAAAAATGAAGCAGAGTAAGGGAGAAAGAGATGGGGACAGGGGTGATCTTCTAAATAGAGTGGCTGGAGAAGGCCTCTCTGAGAAGGTGACATTTGAGCAGAGACTGGAAGAAGTAAAGGAGTGAGCCAGTCTAGGGGCAGTGTACTCTAGGCTGAGGGGAGAGCAGGTGCAAAGGCCCTGGGGTGAGAGCATGCTTGGTATATCCGAGGAAGAACAGGGAGGCCTGAGTGGCTGGAGTGCAGTAAACACAGGAAGGGAAGTAGCAGAGAGGAGAGTAGCAGTAAGGAGAGAGGTCCAGGTAGGCACTGCTCTTAGGGCCTGGAAGAACTTTGGCTTTTACTGAGATAAAAAGTTATTAGAGGGTTTAGGGCAAGTGAATAAGTGGTCTCGTTATATTATTTATTTATTCATTCATTCATTCATTCATTTATTTAATTTATTTATTTATAGGCAAGGCAACCTTTGGTTGACCTCACAGATTGCAAGGACCTTGTCAACTTACAATCTCTTATTTTTAATTTTTTAATTTTTTTATACCTACAGCATCTGGTCTTCCTAGCTGGTCTCCTATCCACATGTTAAGCAGGCCTGACCCTGCTTAGCTTTTGAGGTCAGACAGGATCGGGCTTGTTCAGGGTAGCAAGTGTTAAGCAGGCCCGACCCTGCTTAGCTTTTGAGATCAGACAGGATCGGGCTTGTTCAGGGTAGCATAGCTGTAGACTAATTTGATTTTTTAAAATAAATTTTAGTGTAATTTCAGACTCACAGAAAAGTTGCAGAAATAATACAAAGAATTCCTGTATACCATCATCCAGATTCTGCCACTTTGTGTGTGTGTGTGTGTGTGTATGTACACTGTTTGAGAGCAAATGGTGCATATGATGCCTTTTTACCCACATAATTATTCTAAAGAACAAGGATGATCTCTTTTATAACCACGGAACCATTACTAAATTAGAAAATTAATAACGATACAGTACCATTATGTAATCTGTAGACGTTACTGAAATATTTTCCATTTGTCCTACTTGCTAATGTCTTTTATAGCAAAAGAAAAAAATGTTTTCTCATCCAGGGTCCAATCTAGGATTACTCATTTTATTTTGTTGTCAGTCTGTCTTTGTCTTCTATGAACTTTACAAGTACAGGGCAGTGACACTGTAGACTGACCCTCAGTTTGGGTCTGTTTAAGGTTTCCTCGTGATCAGATTCAGGCTAAGTGTGTTGTGACCTCTGTGTATCCCAGTAGCAGGCACACGATGTCGATTTGTCTTGTAAATGGTCAGATTAACTGACCTCTTGGTAAAGGTGGTGTCTGCATCTGCCAGGTTTCTCACTGTAGAGTTGTTTTTTATTTTTATTTTTTAACGTCTCGTGGGGAGAAACTTTGATATTGTCTACCGTATTTCTCATCAAATTGTTCTCCCAACTGGTGTCTGCCAAATGGTGACCTTCTAATTCTGTCACTCCTTCTACATTTATTCTTTATTTTATTGTAGGGAGACCTTTCTTTTCATTCTGTCAGTGTGGACTCATGGGGCCTTTATTCTAAGGGTTAAAGTTTGTCATTGCCGTTACTAATTTTGACGTCTGAATTATCCCAGATTTGGCCAGTGGGAATCCCTGCAACCTGGCTTCTGTGACTTTTGGAGATGTCCCTGTCATTCTCTGAGTACTTTCTTAGTTTTGGCACCAGAATATGTTCCTGGTTCATCCTGCTTCCCTTCTACTGGAGAATGGTGTTTAGAAATCAAGATCTGGGTGGTAGGTAGCACATTGCTACTAAGGTATCATTGCTTCTAGGCCCTCTCGGCAGACAGAACTAGAAATGCATATTGTGCAAACACCAGCATCTATACCCATTTTTCTATCAGTCTAAAACGATGAGTTCAAATTGAAGCCTCCCATTGCAACCCAACAGGATTAATTCCAGCTTTTCCCTTTCCACATTTATAACTGTTGACAGTGAGAAATCTGACTCCTATTCTCCATAATTTATTTACTTATTTGATCAATAGTAGAACACACACTTTCAGAATCACTCATCAATGGCTATGAAAAACAGTCCTACCAACTGTAGAGTTCATTATTTCTTCAGTTGTTTCTGTCCATAGCCTGATACTGTGTTCGAAAGTAACTTGGGTTATTTCTTTTTTTCTTCCTCCTCTGTTATTTAAAATATAGACAGTTAGGTTAATTTGTTTCTCATTGTGTTCAATTTGTGGTCCCCCTTCTCATCTTTGTTTTTATTTTACTTTTGGAGTATCAGTGGTTTTAAAATTGGGGCTCTTTGAAACAAGTACACTCAGAGAACTGATACTCCCCTTTTCCTCCCCCGCTTCCCACCCCATCCCGTCCACCCCATTTCCATCTATGCGCTGTAGTTAACTAGTCTCAGTAGTTTGTGGTTTATTCTTCTTGTGTTTCTTTTTGCATAAATGAGCAGACACATGCATATTATTTCCTTTTTCCTTACGACAGGGTAGTATACCATAGATATTCTTTTGTACTTTGCTTTTTTCACTTTATGTGTCCTGGAAATTCACTCCATTATTGGTTATAGAGTTCTTCCTCATTCTTTAAAAAAATGTTAATAGCCACATTATCCTTCATTGTGTGGATGTATCCACATTTTATTCAGCCATTTCCTGTGTATGGGTATTTAGATTGTTTCCTGTATTTTGAAGTCGAACATCTCTTCATATGCTTACTGACCATTTTTATATCTTTTTTTTGAATTGTCTGTTCACTTTTTGCCCATTTTTGGTCCCTTTCCCATAAAATTTTAAGTTCTTCACATATTGATATTATTAGCCTTTATTTGTGATATATGTTGTAAATATTTTCTCCCAGCTTGTTTTTTAACCTTTACAATTTTTTTGCCACTCAATTAAAAATTTTTATGTAGTCAAATTTATTAATAATTTATTTTATTGCATCAGGATTTTGCGTCAGAGTTAGAAAAACCTTCCTTACACTCAGGTAGTAGAGAAATTCACTCATGTTTTCTTTTAGTACTTGGTTTCATTTTTCTTAGATCTGAGTCATTTGGACTTTATGCTTGTATACGATGCAAGATATGGATCAAATTTATCTTTCTCCAAATGGCTAACCAGCTATCACTACACCATTTATTAAAAATTCCATATTTGCCCTAGTGATTTCAGATGTCACGTTCATCACATAATAGTGTATGTGTACTTAAGTCTGTTTTTAGTTGAAGACATTCTATTTGGTTCTCTTGGTCTGTTGTCTATTATATTAAAACACTGTCTTAATTATAGAGACTTTAGAGTATATTTTAATATCTGGTAGGGCTTGTTGTCTCTTAGTTTTTCTTTTCCAGTGTTTTCCTGGAAATGATTGCATGTTTGTTTTTCCATATGAACTTTGACATCAACTTGTCTAGCTCCCAAGGCTTGTGGGTATTTTTATTGGGATTATTTTAAATTTAGAAATTTAAGAACAACTGACATCTTTTTGCTGTTGAGTTGTTTTATCTAAAAGCAAGAAATGTCTTCTCATTTATTCAGGTCTGTGTTGTATCTTTTCAGAGTGATGAAATAATGTTATGATTATTTTCTCTGTGGCACCATATTTTATATATTTGTGTTTTCTCTTTATTTTTCTTGAGTAAATTCACTAAGGGTTACAAAAAACAAACAAAAGATATCTAGGAATTTGACTTATTAGGCCTATTGTTTTTCAATTCTGTACCTTGTTAATTTGTTTTTATCTTTAAAGTTTCTCTCTTGTGCTTTCTTTTGGTTTACTTTGCTGTCTTTCTAGTCTTTAAAGCTGACAGTTTGATTTATTTTTTAATTTTAAGTTTTGAGTAGGGCTGTGCCTTTTTCTCTGTTCATAGACAACACTATATAGTGTTTTCATTATCGTGTTTTAGAAATCCTGTAATTGCAGTTTGTATTCCTCTTTCACCCAAGAGTTGTTTAATAGGTGGTTTTTAAATTTTCAGATGGGAGGGCCCTTTTGTATTTTGATTTTTGTTAATAATTTTGAGTTTCACTACATTAGATCTGAGAGTGTTGTTTGTAATATTTCTATTTTATGGAACTATTTTTTTTTTTAAGAAAGCTGTTTAATTTCTATGAACCCGCTTTCTGAAAAGCTGTCAGTTCTATGAATATTATACATATGCTTGAGGTGTGTAGGTGTGTTCTCTTATTCATGTGTCAAGTTTGATATATATTCATAAACAAACCTTAACACTTGTCATTTGGTTCATTTAATATTTTCAGTTCATTGGATCTGCCTTTTACTGAGTTTGGTGTGTTAAATTCTATTAATGCCTTTCTGTCTCCTTGCTTTGCTTTTAGTTTTTTTTTTTTTTTTTTTTACTTTATATAAAAACATGGTGGTTGTGTTACTTGGTGCAGATATTCATAATTGTTATTTATTCATTGTGAATTTTGGCTTTTAGCATTAAAAGTGTTCTTTAAATTATATTCAATTTCAGGATTACTATCCCTGCTCTCACCTTGTTTCCATTAGCCCAATATACCATTGCCCATCTCTTTAATTTTAGCCTCTCTGAATCACTGTGTTATATATAGCATAAATGAGTCTTGTTACGTGAGCCAAATTAAAAATCTTGTTCTTTTTAAATAAGTCCATTCATATTGATTGGTATAATTGAATTAGTATTGTCATATTATTTTGTAATATTTGTGTGTATTTCATTTGTTGTTTTTCCTATCTGATCTTTTCAAAAAAATGATATATATATATATATATGTATGTGTGTGTATATATATATATACAAAAAAAAAAGGTTTGTGTTTTTGTTCTGATTATCTTTGGGCTTACATCTTTTTGAAATGCCCTTAGTTCCTTATTTTCTTATATGATCTTTTAATTGTAACTCCTACCTATTGTCTATACAATCAATGAATTTCCTTTCCTTTCTCTTCTCTCATATTTTTAGCTGCATTTTTTTCCTACTTGTCAGAACAGTAAATCAATCCTTTTGCTTAAACATTCATCTCTTGGTTGGATGAAGCTTAATGTCTGCTAGTAGATTCTTCAAGAAGGGTTTTGGGTGTAGAATTTTCTGAGTTCTTATATAATTGATTTTCTGTAGCCTTGACACCTGATGGTCAGCTTGGTTGCATATGAAATCTGTGGTTCACATTTTCCTTCCTTGAATTTTTTGAAAATATGGCTTTATTTTGGCTTGCTTTGTATGTTGTTTTTGAAAAGTCTGATGGCAGTATAATTTTTTGGACCTTGTAAGGTATTTGCTCTTTTTGCTGGGAGGCTTTGAGGGTTTTTCTTCATCTTTGAAGTCTGTTTTATTAGGATATGTCTCAGCATTGAATGTTTCAGGTCAATGTTGCCAAGTGCCCAATGGATGTATGTACATTCAATCTTATTTCTGTGAAGTTTTCTTTGATTATATTATAAATATTAGATCTGTTTCATTGTTTTATTTTTCTTCTTGAGGGACTCAAATTTCTTTGGTCTGAGGAGTTCCATTTCAACCACTTTTTGCTTGGTATTCCTATTGCTTTGTCCATTTATTTTTGATTTTGAATTTCGAAGTCAAGGTGTTTTGTAACATCCCAAAAATTTACTTGAGGAAATTTAATTCAGTTTCAGTTTTCTTCTGTTTCATGGTTGTGTTTTGGGAAGAATTTTTATTAGCTGAGATGTTTTTACTTATTTTTCAATTACAGTTGACATTCAATATTATTTTATATTAGTTTCAGGTGTATGGCATAGTGGTTAGACATTTATATAATTTATGAAGTGATCCTCCTGATAAGTCTAGTATCTACCTGGTACCATAGTTATTACAATATCATTGACTATATTCTGTATGCTATATTTTACATCCCCGTGACTATTTTGTAACTACCAATTTGTATTTCTTAATCTCTTCGCCTTTTTAACCCAGCCCCCTAAACTTCCTCCCGCTTATCAAACCATCAGTTTGTTCTCTATCTATGATTCTGTTCCTGTTCATTTATTTTGGTCTTTAGATTTGCATATAAGTGATACCATATGGTATTTGTCTTTCTCTTATTTCACTTAGCATTAATATCCTCTAGGTCCATACATGTTGTCACAAATGGTAAGATTTCATTGTTTTTTTACAACCAAGTAATATTCCATTGTACGTATGTACTGAGGTGTGTTTATTCTTTTGTTTTCCTTTAGTATCTTTGTATGGATCTATTTAGTTTTTGTCTACTCATTTTGTAGATTTGGGGTTATTTAAAAGGTTTATATTTCAATTGTCCTCGTTTCTTTTATTTTATATTTTTCCATCATAGCCACATAAGTTTTACTATTAGGTGTACAATTAGCTATATTAAATTGAAGTTTGGGTGTTCTCTGTATCCGTTATGTTAAAAGTGTGGTTTTTGTGTAGCTTCCATTATTCTTCATGTTATTCTGTATCGTTTGTGGACGATATGTGGGGAAATTTGGATAAAGGCTGCCGCCATTATCCTTAGCTACCTGTAAGTCTAACGTTTACTTTTTTAAGATCTTCTGCCTGATGTGTGGAGAACGTAGGTGGGCAAAAGTGACTAGGAAAACTAGTTCAGGGTAGAGGTGTACGTGAAATGCCCAGGGGTAGAAGTGGTGAGAAGTGTTTGGGTTTGGGATATGCAAAGAGAGAGCTGACAAGATTTGCTAAAGGGTGGGATGTGTGGGGTGAGCAAAAGACAAGAATGACTAGAAAGCATCCAGTGGACACTCACCAGTGTCCTGAAGGGGAGTAGCTGGAATATGAGCTATGCTCCTGAGTACCACTGTTCTCTCTCAAGGTTACAAGCCCGATGAAGGGAAACGAGGGGATGCTTGTGAAGGTGACAGTGGGGGACCCTTTGTCATGAAGGTAAGCTAGCTTCTCTAAAGGCCAGGAGCTGGTGGGTAGATCTGGGGAGTGGGGTGGGTAAGGAGGGACCCCAGTATTCAGAAATAGTTGCCTGAGAGGGTAATATTGACACTACCTTGGACTTGACTGTTGGAAACCCCATGTTTCTTCCTCAGAGCCCCTTTAACAAACGCTGGTATCAAATGGGCATCGTCTCATGGGGCGAAGGCTGTGACAGGGATGGAAAATATGGCTTCTACACACATGTGTTCCGCCTGAAGAAGTGGATACAGAAGGTCATTGATCGGCTTGGAAGTTAGGGGGCCACCCACATTCCAGGCTCCTCACTGCGAAATCAGAGAAAGCAATCCAGTGAAAGAATTATTTTTGTGGTTTGTTCCCAAAAACTATAGTTCTCAATAAAAACTATATCTCTGAGCCTCAGTGCTCCCAGTGCTGTTCATGGGCAGCTCAGGCAAGGCCAGTACCACTATTGGATAAAGAGGACTTAATAGAATCCACTACCCCCTAGATCAGGGCCAGGTGAGAGTTAAGATATATTTACGAATGTACCTTATCACTTGTTATTTAGATCACTTATATTCCTATTTTCAGTTCATCTGATCTGTCTTGTACATATTGCTATTATTCCTGTTAGGTGCCTTTATTCTCAGGGGGAACTAGGTATTACAGCCCACGGTAGGTGTGGAAGCGAGTTTCAGCTGGTGTGGAATGTTAATCGGTTGGTAACTACCTGGAGGACTGTGTTCAGAAGAGTCAGTCTGAGCTTGGAGGGGAAGAGTGAAGCCTGAATGCTGTGGGGACAGGACAGAGGAGTGGAGCATGGATGCCACGTGGTTACAATTCCTGGCCCAGATCTTCAACTAAGATCTTTAAAATTCATGGTTTAATGCAGGAAGGGACCTCAGGTAGGTACCTTTACCCCTAGCCCTTCCACTTTCCCATTTTCAATACATCAGGTAACAGAATTAGGACCAAGTTCCTTGCCCTCATTCTTTGGTTCTGGTTGACTAGAAAGCAGTGTAAAAACTGGGAATTCAGTGAGCTTGCAGGAACTTGGCAGCCCAGAACTTTAACTAGAGCAGGGAGAAGGGATTAGGAATTACAATACCCCAAATCTTTTTAAACCAGGGTACACATTCTCACAAGACTGCTTCCCTCCAACACAGCTGTCAGCATTGTAAGCTCTGGGCACTTTGTTTTTTCATATTAGTTGTGCTAATTCTAGACCCAAGCACAGCCATTATTTCTAAATATGTTCTATAGCAGTGAACTCCTCCATCCTCCCTTCAGTGAACGCCTACTCCCATGGGCGAGAGGCAAGTTTAATTTCAGGCTGCGTAGGGGCCACCTGAAAATCACGACTGGAAGCAAGAGAGGATTCATTTTCCATCAACTTTACATTTTCTTCAACTGCTGTTCAAAAAATGAAGTCTACAAAAATTCCTTTGAACTTAATTATTGCCCCAAAAGTCTCCCATCTGAATCCAGAACCTTAGTACTGAGGTGTTTCTGACTGGAAGGAGGCCCTGGGGAATTGATTCCAGAGGTGACTCCTCAGTTCATTTTCTGGTCCTCATGCAGACTGATGGGAAGCAGCTGCTAGTCTGGACTCAGACTCTGATAACAAGGCAGGAAGCCCCTAAGCAATCCTGTATTCCTTTAGGCTAACGACCTCAAATCAGATCACTATCCCTGGTCACGATCTCACGTGCATTTGGGCAGCAAAGTGGCAGGACGCCAAGAGCTCCTTGGAACCACAGTTATAATGGGAGGAAGCTATGACCAAAACCTCAAAACTGGGAAGAACGAAGCTTCGTGCTCCCCTACGAGCCGCCCAAGGAGGGCAGGACAGGCGAGTTCCTCTTCTCCCAAGGAGTGAGAGGCGGCGCCCCTTAGGTAGGCATCTGACCTTCCCGACTGGCCGGGTACTCAGCTGGTCCCAAGAACAGGTGACAGAAAGCTGCCCAACACTCCCAGATATGGAACATCTTGGGAGACTGGTATAGTTAATGCAAACTTTATTTATAAAAGACTCTTAAATTAGTTGTATCATGCCATGCATTCATACAGAACACAGTGACCCTTCAGGGCTACAGGGAGAAGAGTTCACAAACTCAAAGGAAAACTATTAAGAGTTTCTAATAGTTAAAAGCTAGGAAAGATTAGGACAACTTTACAAATGAGCAATTAAAAAGAAAAAGAAAAAGGATATGGAAACTAGTCTGAGTTGAGGGTAGCTGTTTACAAGTCTGTACACTAAACTAATACACAGACAGTCTTCTAGAGAGGCAGATGCTCACGGAGAAGCAGAGTATGTACAAACACCTGTGCCACGACGACTCCTCCCCAGATCCACGGTATGATACATACAACCAGTCCGTGTACACGAGGCCCGCCGAGGCCACTCTGAACTACAAGGACTCTAGTTTAGTAAACTAAAGCTGCAGGGGCCGGGAGGGGGGCAGCTTCATTTGCGACTGCTCTTTATTCTCTCCAGTCTTTTTTTCAAGTCATCAATGTTAGCTGTGGAGGAGGAGGATGTGGTCACAGTTCCTGAAGAGTGGGTCTGGTTAGAATCCAGGTCTGAGTGCTGGTGCTGCTCCCGTGACTCCCGGAGCTGAGATAGTTTGCTGTGCAGCATATCTGTGGAAGAGGCAACAGTAGGAACTGCTGGTTTGGAGAGCAAAGAGGTCAACGGAGGTCGGTCATCTTGCTGTCGAGAAAAGAAGAGACATTGTCTAACCAGGTCAAGAGGCGGCTCTGGAACAACATATATCAAAACTGGGCCACTTCTCCGGGCCGGCCTGTCCCTGACCTGCTTGTCACTGCCCCCACCTCCCCGACCCACACAGATGGAAAGGAGCAGTACCTTTGTATTGTCCAGGCCACATCGCTGTCGGAGGATTTTTAGCCTTTCCAGGTAGACAGAGGGTCCTACCTCTTCTCCATTTGTGTTACCTATGGAGGACACTGTGCTTGTGGCAGGCACACATGTGACCTCCATCTGAGAAGAGATGCCTAGAAATGTAGAAAGAATATTCAGATATACACACACCCCACTTCTAGTCTGTCTTCATTAATCTGCCATTAAAGGGACGATTTGGGGGCTGGAAGATCACCACTGTACTTGAAGACTAAAAAATCCACAAGAATCCACCTGGAGCTGGTGATAGAGGTATCTAAAATATACAAGGTTAAGCTTAGTGAGAACTTCAAGAATTGATACAGAAGAGCAGGTGCAAGATGGGCCATCCACCTACATCCTGGGCTATGCGGGGCTGTACATCTAAAACCCCACAGCTGACCTGGGCGATCCAAAAAAGCCTAAGCCACTCCTGAGTCTATGGTCAGGGCCCGACTGAAGAACCTAAGGATTTTAAATGTTGGCAAGAATTAGACCAGGTTCGGACCAGGTGACACACAGGGGAAAGCTCTTATTCAAACTGGGGAGGAGAGCAAGGAGCTCAAGGCTACAGTATATTCGTGAGGAAAAAAAAGAAACTGAGATGTCCAACAAACACCCAAGGAAGGGCTAGATTCTGGAGCATCTGTAACCCCCAGCACTGAGATCAATATTCTAGTAGAAGGGAAAACCAAAAGAATTCATCACAGTTCCTAAGTTTCTCAAAAGAAACAATGACAATATTCAGGCATTTAAAATACCCCATCTGATATCAATGAAAATATTACATAAGGCAAAAATATCAAGCACTTAGAAGATACAATCCCTCATTGTAAGCAGAAAAGTAAAACGGATTACTGTGTGGAAAAGGAATCTTTCGATGTAGATGAGGGTGAAAAATGAGTGAAGAATGATGGAAAAGCTGCAGTAATGGATGCTTGAACATATTAAGCACTCAGTAGTCAGTGAGGTCACAGGCTGGTGTTATAGATGTGCTGTTTAGGTCAAAAGCATCACTCAAATATTGAACGTTGCCAGAAAGGGCTTTGGAAATGAGAAAAGGAGGTCCTACCTGATCGACCCACACCCGGTACGTCCGCATGGGGCATGCTATTACACATTCTGCTCACTGTGCTTTAAAAAAACCTCTTCAAGTGTTAAAAACAACAAACAAAAATGACTTAATAGAACATAAGTGAAGCTTAATCCTAGCTAGATACGTGGTGAGACAGAACACAACTGGAATCTGAAAACCACAAAGGAACGTGGTTTCATGGGCAAACAAGCCCTAGAAGGTAGGAGCAGGCGGAGTAGGTGAGCGTCCCTGCACTCAGAAAGACAGGAACACAGGGCGAATGCGTGAGCTCTGCTCTGTGCCCACTCTGTGCCACTTTGCAGCTGCATCTTTCCTTCTGCCTCTGGATCCTGTGAGCACTAATTCTCAGATGCTGGCTTTTTCACCATGGGAACGTGAACATTCAGCTTAACATTAGGATAAGCATTCATTCATATCATTCAACAAATACCTACTGAGTGTTTACTATGTGCCAGGCAACAAAACAAAAATCTTTACAAAATTCTGGCAGAGACAGACATCAAACAACCTAATAAATACTACATTATATATGTTACAGACGGTTAAGTGCTATGGGGAGAGGGGTAGGCTAGAAGTCTCAGAGATAGTGGTATTTGGACAAAGACTTGAAGGAGGAACGGGAACTAGCTACAAGGCTGTCTTGGGGACGAGCAATCTACACGTAGAAACAGTCAGTCCAAAGGCCCTAAGAAGGTATATGTCTGGTGCGTTCCAGGAACAGCAAAGGGGCTGGAGTGGAACGAAAATCAGGGAGAGAGTAGCAGGAGCTGAGGTTCTAGAGGTATGGAGGTGGGGGGTAGGGCTTGTAGACTTTTGTAAGGCTTTTTGCTTTTGCTGAAAGGGAGAGCCTTGGGAAAATGAGAAGTGTTATTTTGATGCTATGTGTGGAAATGAATATAGGGAGGCGGGAGTGGAAGTGGAGATCAGACAGGAGGAGAGTGTTACTACAATCCAGGGGAGAGAGGGCATTCAGACTACGGCAGTGGCGGTGAAGGTGATGAGAAGTGTGGGTGGATTCTGCATACAGTCTGTAGGTAGAGCTAAAAGGATTTCCTGACAGAGAGGAAGAGAAGGCTCAGAGTAAATGAAAAGGATGAAGTTACCATCAACTGAGAATGCAAATGGAGGTTTTGGGCGAATAGCAGGAGCTTAGTCTTCAACATGTGGAGTTTACGATGTCTGCTAGAGACCCAAGTGAAGATGTCATGCAGGATATGTAAGCTGATATCACGAAGGACATCTGAGCTGGATGTCAGACATATGGGACAGCAACATTTAAGAGTTCAGGGACAGGAAGAATCAGTCAGAAGCCCAGGAGGAACAGCTAGTGAGGTGGGAGGAAGCCAAGACAGCAGGTGAACCAGAAGTCCTGGGGAGAAACTGTTTCAAAGGCAGGAAACAATGCCATTTGTCAAACACTGATGATGGATCAAGGCAAGTGACAGAGTTGACCACTGTCTGTAGCAATGTGGCCATCACTGGTGACCATTCAGTATTAAGGTGAATGGTTATAAATTTAAACCAATCAAAATCCCCAGTTCCTGAACTGGGAGCTACTTTGAGCTTATTCCTTGAGCTACCAGAGGAAACCATACCTGTTGAAGTGGGAATACGGCCTTTGCCCTCCCTCTCCATCTCAATCACCCGAAGGCCTCTCTCAACATAGCTCTGGAAGAACTGTGAGGAATTTTTCAAAAATGGTTCGATGTCAGCATCTGAATATTTCTTCTTATATTCATATAACTCTGCTAGGCCCTGGTTAACAACAAGAAAGGAGGGGTTGGATATTAGTTTTCCATAAAGCAGATCCCCATTTCGTTCAACCCTTGCCCTCTCACCTCTTTAGTATTCTCTTTAGAGCCAATCTTCTTAAAAATCTCAGCTAAGAAATCATTCACTTTGGCCTTTGATGATTTTTCATCCTGAAAAGTTGAAAGACAAGGCAGGATTGGCTGGTTAGACTTATTAATCAGGAACGAATGGTTGGATCCGACCTTCCTGGTATGTTCCAGCAGATAATAGAAGGTCCTACACTCCAGGGTCTGTAGCTGACCCACTAGCATCCTGGGTTACTGAATGTCTCCAGTCTCAGGTTGTCAACTACACTTGATGGGAAGGACCTGGCCCATTCCTCCCTAATTAAATAGCACTCACAGTGGATTTACCTGGCAGCCAATGCTTTAGGCACAGACAAAGAAACCTTTCTTGGGGACCAGGAAGCACATAGTTATAGTTTATATTTGAAAATTTCAAGGTGCACATGGATACAGCACCACAGCAGGAGAGTGACAGGATCAAGCCCTGAGCCTTCACCTTAGGCCCTCAGACAGACAGGCTCCAGTGGTCTTTGACAAGATCACTTCTGCACAACCTCAACTCCCTTAATCTTTCAAATCAGGACACTCACGATTCGAGATGCTCCCTTTTCTGTTTCCTTATCAGACTTGCTCCCGGCCTGGTCCATACTGTGCTTCATCATCCGGCAGAGGTGGGCCTCCAGCTCAGACTCGTTCTTATTGTCAATCATTGTTAGGTGGTCTAGGATCTGAGGGAGACACATGCACATTCAAATGGCAGCAATGCCATTTCCATCATGTTCTCTCAAATTCCTTCAGGGACTAGATGCTGTTCTCACTCACCTTGGGCCCTTTTAATTTGCATAAAGTGTGCAGCAGTGTCTTTAGGGTCCTTATGGGAAATTCACTTTTGCATTGCTTCAGTTTCTCTTTGGGGAAGACCTTCATGAAAATGTGTATATCCAGGAGAATTCTGTCCAGATTAATGCTGTTGATGGTATCAGGCAACAGCCGAACCATTCTCCAGAGACACTATTGAAAAAAGAAACAAAAGTTAGAGGGAGTAACTGAAGAATGAGG